GAGAGAGAGAGAGAGAGAGAGAGAGAGAAGGGGGCAGAGAAAGGGAAGGGAAATCTCAAGATCTTTCTTTAAATAAGATATTGCATAAAAAACTCACTTCCAGTGGGTTGATTCCAACCCATGGCAACCCTATAGGACAACCCTATGTGGGTTTCCAACACTGTGTAATTCTTTACGGGAGTAGAAAGCCTTGTTTTCTTCCTGCAGAGTGGCTTTAAACTGCTGCCCCTGACATTAGCAGCCCAAAGGCATAACCACTACACAAGCAGGCCTTCTCAACATATTGCATAGCATTCTGCAATTTAGAAGAGCCAAAAGCTGAAGTTGGGGCTAGGGATCACCCCATATGTGGAGATTTTCAGTATGCCTTTACAGAATCTGTGGACTCCAGGGACAATGGTTTGAATAATAAGCTCACGGTCTTGCTGGGTTCTTGCAACTGGGAATTGGAGTTTTTGTGATGGAATGGAACCTATCCACCCTGCTGGACAGCTTGGGTCCAACCCTGACCTGACGTGAGACATTCCGTTTTCTCTCCCAACAGCACCTGCTGGGTGAGTTGGAGTAGAATTTATGTGAAATATGAACAAATGCATCCTGGAAAGAGGAGGGACTGTTAGTGGAGGACACGGGATCCAGCTTCCTTTTTCTGTACTCACAAGATCTCGGTACACAGGTGGCATCCATTCCCATAGGTTATGTAGTCAGAGCCGCAGACAGGCAGGTACGTAATGGGGCAGGGGATGGCCACTACGGGGTACTTCTTATAAATGCTGCAGTCCACCTGAGACCGAAACAAGAGAAGGGCTTGCTTCCACCCAGCCCCCAAGTCAGCCTCTTCTGACCTCTGTTGGTCAGAGAGCAAAACTGCTCTCCCGGGAGTCCCAGCTCAGATATTCTGAAGCTGTTGTGACTAATTCCTTCAGTACTTCTACCATATTCTTTATACAAACAACACTGCCTCCTGGCTGTGCGTATTAACTGCTTCCTCACCCGCAGCAGGCATTTTTATAAATGTGCTACACTAATTTTATTTCTACTGTAGCATGTAACATTACCACTGCTGCTACCACTAGCTCTATTATTACTACTGCACTCTAAAATTATTCTGTATTTTTGGACCAGGATTTTTAAAAATCATTTTATTAGGGGCTCATACAACTCTTATCACAATCCATCATACATCAATTGTGTAAAGCACATTTGTACATTCATTGCCCTCATCATTCTCAAAACATTTGCTCTCCACTTAAGCCCCTGGCATCAAGTCCTCAGCGCCCCCCCGCCCCCTGCTCCCCCCTCCCTCATGAACCCTTGATAATTTATAAATTGTTATTTTGTTATGTCTTACACTATCTGACGTCTCCCTTCACCCACTTTTCTGTTGTCCTTCCCTCAGGGAGGAGGTTATATGTAGATCCTTGTAATCGGTTTCCCCTTTCCAACCCAACCTCCCTCTACCCTCCCGGTATCACCACTCTCACCAACTGGTTCTGAAGGGATCATCCACCCTGGATTCCCTGTGTTTCCAGTTTCTATCTGTACCAGTGTACGTCCTCTGGTCTAGCCAGACTTGCTAGAATTGGGATCATGATAGTGGGGGGGAGGAAGCATTTAGGAACTAGAGTAAAGCTGTATGTTTGATCATTGCTACACTGATCCCTGACTGGCTCATCTCCTCCCCAAGACCCTTCCTGAAGGGGATGTCCAATTGCCTACAGATGGGCTTTGAGTCTCCACTCACACTTCCTCTTACTCACAATGATATGATTTTTTTTCTGATGATGCCTGATACCTGATCCCTTCAACACCTTGTGAGGGTCAGGATATTTTTGTGACATGTATTTTTTTTCTTTAACAGTTTTGTTGACACTTCATTCACATATACCATTTAATAGTTCAATCATATCAAGAAGTACAATCATCACCAAATCAACTTTAGAATATTTTCTTCTTCCTTGTACTTATTGTTATTTGTGTATTTTTTAAATTGTGGCAAAAATATATGCAACAAAACAATCTCCAATTCAACAACTTCTACATGTATAATTCAGTGAATTGATTACACTCTGTGTTTTCAGTCATTATTGACACCATGGATTTTTTATTGTTATCTTTATAACAACCAAATAGAGTAGGACCTACAATTATTCATATTTACAAATGAGGGGAAATTCAGGCATTGAAAGACATAACATATACTAGGCAAATTCTAATAAATAGTAGAGCTTATATTTGAATACAAAGTCTGTGTAATTAACCAAAGAAACTCTGCTCTATTCTCTCAGGTTGTCCCTTCCACAAAGAGTTCAGCACCTTCTCAGTTTGAAGTAGCCTGTCTTTCCTTTAACACTGGAATCATCTATGAAACAGATCCCAAAACCAATCTTGCTTCGATAGAGTTATTGCTGATTCCAAGTGACTCCCTGTGGGTTTCCAAGATTGTTTTTGTTTGAGGGGGTAGCTTTCTCAGGCAGATTTGCGGGTGGTTTCAAACTGCTGACTGTGTGGTTAGCAGACAAACATATATACAGCTATATTTATAGTAGTTTTAACTTCCTTCTAGACAACAGATGTTGTGTCATGTGTCAGATTTCCTTAATCCCCTTCCAAACCCACTAAGTTAATTTTAGCTATATGTATCATAAGTATTTTGTTGATTAAATGACTGTCAATGGGAATAAAAATGCCACTCAATGTATACTTACCATTGTTGAAGATACACTGGCAGCTTCTGAAAGAGAAATGCACAAGTGAGAAAAACTGACTTCTGATTAACTAATGTAAATTTGGACCTATATTTAGACTTTTATTTTCTGGGCCACTAAGTCTTAACATACTTACGATCCTTATACAAAGTCTCAGTTGTTGGCTGAGAAAACATTTCAATGAGACAATTATGCCAGATAACCTCTTCAGCATAGGCAAGCCCATTACTCTAGTTTCTCCCTTTATTGACAGGGCCACTCTCTGAGTGTCTTTACAATGATTCCAACTCACATAACGATAGTACTGCAGTCACCACTCCTAGTCTGAAACGCCATCTTTGACAGTTTTTCTCTGCTAATTGAGATAAAGGAGCCCTGGTGCTGTAGTGGTTATATGCTGGACTGCTAAGAAGGTTAGCAGTTTGAAACTGCTAGTTGCAACTTGAGTGGAGACCAACTTTTCTACCTCTGAAAAGACGTAAAGAATCCCAGTCTGGGAGACCCACAGGGGCAGTTCTACCCTGTCTTAGGGGGTCACGAGGAGTCAGAATGGACACAATGGCAGTGAATTAGTTGAGTATTTTTGGAACTGAGATAAATGATTCCCTGGTAGTATAGTAGGTGAAGTGTTGGGCTGCTAACGGCAAGGTTGGCGGTTCAAACTCACCACTTTGTCTGTGGAAAAGAGATAAGATTTCCCTGAAAGATTTAGTCTCTCAGTCCCAAGGGACCAGTTCTCCTCTGCCCTAGAGAGTCACTAGGAGTTAAAACCTACTTTATGTCAGTGCTTAATTGATCTAAAGGGATGTAATTCAACACCTCTAATGTCTTGTTTTAATTATTACTTTAACATATAAAAGAGTAGATGCCTGACCTTTGGAACTCTGGATAGAGATGAGACTTTCTACTTCTGTGAAAGATTCACAGCCTCAGAAACCCACAAGGGCAGTTCAACCCTGTCCTATAGGGTTGCTATGAATCAAAATGACTGGGTGGCCTTTGGAAAACTGTGTTTTACTTTGATCTTCCTGTATTACCTGGAAGACATCTCAAACTTTCTGCAGTGAAGAATAGTTATCTAAGAACACCTACTAATTCCATAGTTATTATACATTGGTAGAGGTGAGAAGAAATTGCATAATTGAAAACTTTCCGTGGATGGGAATCAGAATTTAAAGCGGAAGATCCTCACCCCTAAGTCCCCCAACTCTAGCTGCATTCAAAGATCCCCCCTTCCCAGGGAAGAGCACTTTCTATCACAAAGGAATGCACTTTAAGTTCACCTAAGCACACAGATGATTTGGACGCATGGGGAAACCAGGCGGGAGTCTGTTTCTCCAGGCGGCTTTACTCACCTGCCCTGCTGCAGAAATGGGCCACTGTACAGAGGAGAAGGAGACTCCCCAGGAGCTTCATCGTGGAGATGGACGTGGTGCAGAGGATGCTCAGAGAGTCAGCCCTAAGATGTAGGAGAGAAGCAATGCTTTTATGCCAAGTTTTGTGCTCCGCCTTTCCTGTGAGGTCATCTGGAGTCAGTATTGCCCTGAGAGAATCTTGACACCCACTGTCACACCTTGGGAGATGTTGTTACAGTCCTTGTTGCTTATTTGCTAATTCCAATCTGACCAATTTGATTATTCGAGGTGAGTGTCAAATCTTTTTCTGTCTGCCCCACAGGTGGGGACTGCCACTTGGAATTCCAAACTTCTTATAGAAGAAGAGATTACATACTGCTCCTTTAATTTTAATTTTTGTTTATTATACCAAAAACCATATTTGGCTTTTGGGGAAATGAACCTGTGGGGCCCTAAAGGAAGGAACAGTAATCTTAGCATTTGTTAGGCTTGTAGAAGAACTTTTACAGGATACTTTTGACATTTTGACATTTTCCAGCTTCATCACCCTGAGTAAGTTATTTATAGGTGTGAGTCTGTATTAATCAGGAAAGCTTGCGTATATTGTGGTAACATATAACCCCAAGATTTCTGTGACTTCAAGAAGTTCACATGTCTAGTTCTTACGGAAGCTTTACATGCATGGTGGCCTGGCGAGAGTGATGCATTGCCCTCCCATTATCTTCCCAAGTCAATGGTCATGGTTGAGAGCATTGTCAGTTACCAAGTGACGTGGAAACGCACCCTTCAGGGTTGCTTTTTTCATCAGTTAATTGATCTGCCTTAGATGTGATGCCCCTGTCATTTCTTACAACTCACTGGTCAGACCCATCATGTGGTCTCACCCAATTCAAGCAGTTGCATGAAATCTTACCCTGCCCTCTGAAGACTCCAAGGCACACGATAGGCAACAGCACAGAGACTGGCTCAGAGCCATAATCCAATCACCTGCGCAGTAGGACTGGCTATTAGCCACCAGGAAGGTTGCTGCTGGGTGCCACCGAGCCCTTTCGGACTCAAAGTAACCCCATGAGACAGTGGAGAACTGCTTCGTAGGGTTTCGAGTAGTGTGCATCATCAGGCCTTTTTCTTTAGGAGCTGTTATTGGGTGAGTTTGAACTGCCAACCCTTCAGCTAGTGGCTGAGTGTTTAATTATTTTGTCACCAGAGCCCTTAGTCAGCTGTAACAGAGATCATTTAATTCGAGTCATTTATGTGAAAGTCTACGTTTTAAGCCCAATGCATGAAAGTATGTTTTTGTGATTGTTATCTTCATTAGTGTTGAGCCAACAGTTTCCAATACATATTGCTAACACTAGAGTGTAAACTGCACGGTCAAGAGAAGCATAAGCAAGTGTTCAGTTCCCTGCCAGTTGCTATTGAAGTGAGGAACATAGATCTGAAAACCTGGAAGGAAGGCAGTACGTTCTGTTACTGCAGTCCATGACTGGTCAGCTTTATTGAGCACACTCTGAAGCACAGCATCACCTAGGATAGTAAGCTAACACTAAAAAAGGTAGCATTCCAGAAAACTTTCATTCTTACGTCAATTCAGGAAGGAATGCTATCTAGTGGTTATCAACATGGGCATGCAGAATACATTTGGAAAATTACTTGCTGCTACTAACTGCTGACTATGACTTGGCATATGTAGGTTAACCCCTGGATATCACTGTTACTTTATTTCTGAAATGGAAAGAATAGTTACCCCACAGGCTGATTTTTGAGTATTGAGATTTTATATTTGCGCTGTTGTTATTGTTAGGTGCTGCTGCCTTAGTTCTGACTCATTGCAAACCCATGGGACTGTAACATGAAATGCTGGCTAGTCCTGTGCAGGCCTAACAATGGCTGCTATGTTTGAGGTCCTTGTTGAAGCTTCTTTGTCGATCCATTTAGTTGAGGGTGTTCTATTTTCTGATCCTCCACGTGATGTCTTTCTCCAGAGACTGATCCCTCTCCTGACATGTTCCAAGAAAAGTTTTACCATCTTTGCTTCTAAAAAGCATTTTGGTTGCACTTATTTCAATCATATTCCTTCTGGAAGTTCATGGTATATTCATGTTCACCAACACCATAATTCAAAGAAATCAATTCTTCTTTATGGTAGTTACATAATTTGGTGTCAGTTTGGGGCTTGAGAGGATTAAGAGTGAAGGGGTAGGTAGATTCTAGTCTGTCAATTGGGTAATAGCCAATGAGGCCTCTGTATGGGGATGGCCTCCTGAGAATTCTGGGAACTCCTGGATTTCCTCCTTGGAGGAGAGAGATACACTCTCTCAGTCTCTTCTCTGACTTCCTGGAGAGACACTCTATTGACACTACATGGCACTACGCTGATAGACCTCGTGGCCTGGGAACTGGAGGAGCCACATGGAGACCCCTAAAAGCTCTGAGTTGCTTACAATGCCACTGGATTCACCAGACTTCCAACCCACTAGCCTGTGATCCTCCTGCATTTGGCATCATCGCATGTATTTTGTGAGTCTGAAGAGGATTTTATAGATTGGTATCGGACACATGGGCTAATATTGGACTTATGGCCTTGATCTGGACTGGGCTGGGATGTTTTCTCAATATTCAACTACTCTTGTATATAAACTTCTTTCTTATACAAATATGCATGTTTATGAATTTGTTTCTCTAGTCTACATGGACTAACACATTCTCCAATATTCCTAATTCACTGTCTAGCTTTCACATGCATGTGAGGTGAGTGAAATCATCATGAATTTGGTCAGGTGTTCCTTAGTCCTCAAAGTGACATCTTGGCTTTTTAATATTTTAAAGAGGCCTTTTGCAAGTTATGCCCAATTCAAAAAATTGCCTGATTTCCTGGACACTGCTTCCATGAGTTTTGATTGTGGATTCAAAGAAAATGAAATCCTTGACAATGTCAATCTTTTCTCTGTTTATCAAGATTTTTTTTATGGGTCTAGTTGTGAGGATTTTTGCTTTCTTTACCAAGAATTATAATCATACTTAAGGCTATATATATTTATCTTCATCAGTATTTTAAGCTCTCTTTACTTTCAACCAGCAAGGTTGTGTCTTCTGTTTATATAAGTTGATAATGCATCTTTCTCCCATCCTGATCCCATGATCTTCTTCATAAGCATATATATGTGTGTGTATACAGCTACACACACATATATAATGCAATGTGTTTAGCATATAATGAAATATGTGTGTATATATATATATATATATCACAAATAACAAGCACATTTTACTTTTTTGCCTAGCTTTGTGAATGCCTGCACATTTTTGTAAGTATTTTATTCCAATTTTTATGTTTTTTTTACATGTTGCTGCCTTCAATTTCTGTTTCGGATCACAAGGAAACATCACTTAAAATATACATTGAATATTGATTTTTATATTACTTAAAATTTAAGCCAAAAATATTTTCAGTAAATCGACGGTTGAAGTAATGATCTATGAGCAACTAAATTACTATAAACAAATACATAGTATCACTTATTTATTTGCTGATTATTGGGGGATTACAAATTCACTTAATGACTTTTGACCTGGCTTATATATTTAAATATGATCAAAAATAACATTTTTGAAGTATTTTTACACACTTAGGTAGAGATTAAAGAGAAGGAACAAAATTTTTAAAAATGAACAGAATGATATGATTTATCTTTAATATAGGAAGATGGATTAATAAGGTTAAATTTACTTCTAGAAATGCCACAAAATATGCTCAGTGCATGCTACGTGTGATAGGTAGGCTTATTGTGCCAAGTTGGCCAGTGAATGCATGTGGGATTAATTGAAAGGCGGAGAGATAAATGGCTTGGCAAGCCTTGCCTTTCTGGTCTCTTGCTCTTTGATGATCGTACCAGTTGTGACTGCCTTAGCTGGTTCTCTGCCTCAACTTGTGAGCTACACTACCTGTGGGGCACCCAAACCATGGACTGTGTCACTGTAGTTTGAGGTTCCTTCAACCCTTTTTCGTCATGCTACTGGAGTATACGTCACTGGAGCTGGATGGACCCTGTCATCTGGCTGCCTGTTGGTGACCTGCCTTGCTGTTTGCTGCCTGTGCCCGAATTGCCTGAATTGCTCTACAGAGGTCTCCTCTGTCTGCTTTCTTGACTTGCACCCAGTGGCCCTCAAGACATGAAGGACTGCCAGTGTATTAGCTGTCTCACGGAAGTGAGTTGCACTGAGCCATTTGTACTGCTCGATAGACTAATTAGCTGTTTATTTCTGATGTATATATCTATCTACATAAATATATATAAAATCAAAAGTGTCCTTGTTTTGTTTCTCTAGAGAACCCTGTCTAACGTACTATGATAGACGTGTTTTACTTAATTTTAATAGACGTGTTTTACTTAATTTTATATGAGTGAGTGCCTCATTCGTGTGGGTGTATTATTTGTGAAAAATACACTATATATAATATATGTAATTATATATGTATATTCCAACCTTGCTTACTGTAGTTGATAATTTGGAATTTGGTCCTAATGAAAATTCATGAAGGAATTTTCATTACCCTAATTTTATCAATGTGTAAACTGAGCCTTAGACATCTTAAAGAACTTTTCCAAGATGGTGACAGCAGTGAGAGGCACAGTTAACATTCGAATTTAGCCGGCTCAGACTAAATGCACATCTTGTGCATCAACTGCACATCTTGTGCCCCTGCCGTGGCTCCAAGGCCTGACACCTACAGAAGTCGACCCGTGGCAAATGCACTTAGCCTGCCATGCACAAGAGGGAGTATAACTGGGGTTCCAGGGCTAAAAGACAAAATACCAGTGGTATTGGGTGAATGAGAAACCTAAACATTGTATGCGGCATATTCCGGTATGGATTCCTTGAAAAAACGACACAAACCCAAGAGGGCAGGTATGTCAATATCCAGTGCATCTCAAGGATTTCCACCAGTAGTTGTGCAATACAATTTCTAACATTAATTTTTTAAGTTTATGTAAAATTTCTATTATCTTTTAATTCCATTTTCTTACAAACTTTCGGAAGCCCTCTTCTATACTATGC